GCCACAGCCATATCACCCTGCAGCCCAAGACTGGTTGCCCACTGAAGCTAAGCAGCATTGAGTCTGGTCAGTACCTGGATGGGAGACCTCCTGGGAAAACTAGGTTGCTGTTGGAAGAGGTGTTAGTGAGGCCAGCAGAGGGTGCTCACCCTGTGGTCTGCGTGGGTCCTAACGCCCCAGTATAGTGACGGGGACACTATACTGTCAAAAAGCACCGTCTTTCGGATGAGACGTTAAACCGAGGTCATGACTCTCTGTGGTCATAAAAAATCCCATGGCGCTTCTCGTAAAGAGTAGGGGTGTAACCCCGGTGTCCTGGCCAAATTGCCCCCCTTGGCCCTTGTCAATCATGGCCTCCTAATAATCCCCAACTACTTGATTGGCTCTATGACTCTCTCTCCTCTCCACCTGTAGCTGGTGTGTGGTGAATGCACTGGCGCCATTGTCCTGTGGCTGCCGTCGCATCATCCAAGTGGATGCTGCACACTGGTGGTGGTTGAGGAGAGACCCCCCCACATGATTGTAAAGCGCTTTGGGTGTACAAAAATACACAATAAAGCGCTATATAAATTCATCATTCATATATATATAAATTTGGATTCAGTTAAAATTGTTGGTGCTACTTGAGGTGTAGCTCTGATGAACATTGGCCTCTAAATATATCTGTCAAAAACAGAAATGTAAAGTAATGAGATTACACATGTTTAAACCACAATGCTAAGCAAGTACTGTAGACTAGTGTTTGACAGGGCCAGACAGGCTAATTAGAGCGATTACTGCACAGCTGGATTGGCTGGCTGCTCGACGGAGGGCGCTTCAAAAGGATCAGCGGATAGAGAAGGCCTCATCTCGACAGCTTCTGCACTGGCATATCATCTGGGTTTCTGGTCGGAAAAATGCGCGGCGTTTGGAGCGAGCAGTTCCTCTATTGATTGATGAAGAGAACTGAAAGTGCATGAGGGAGCGTTGTGTAAGTTCCTCTGCGTTTGTCAGCTGGAACTGGGATCTTTGCGGTGCTGTAGAAGAAACGGATGGCGAAATAGTGGGAGGAAAACTGTAGGAGAAAGAAAACATAAACAGCCACAAAACTCAAAACATCAGCTGATGTAGAGGAAGCCCGGTTTTGTTGCATTATTTGGGTTTTCACCTTCAGATAGCTTTTCTAGGGAGAAGGAGAGTCATATAAGGCAGAGATTTGCTTGAATCATTGTTAAGATTCGTCACATTGAATCAGCATCAGGAAGGTCTGGCGCAGTTCTGTGATTACAATATGTACTGTATATGAATTATATAACTAAAATTAAATAACTTTAATTACAGATTTAGGTTAAATAAAGATGTCAGTTTTTATTTTTCTTATTTTTAAGAAACAAATCAAAGAAAAAATAAACAAATTCTACTGTTCGAAATAGTGGGAGGAAAACTGTAGGAGAAAGAAAACATAAACAGCCACAAAACTCAAAACATCAGCTGATGTAGAGGAAGCCCGGTTTTGTTGCATTATTTGGGTTTTCACCTTCAGATAGCTTTTCTAGGGAGAAGGAGAGTCATATAAGGCAGAGATTTGCTTGAATCATTGTTAAGATTCGTCACATTGAATCAGCATCAGGAAGGTCTGGCGCAGTTCTGTGATTACACACATCAGCTACACACCGTGTATTAACAAGGACAGGCAAAAAGCCTGTAAAAAAAAAACCTTTTTGGAGCAGTTAGCGGTTAGCATGCTTACTCCAACATGTTGACCTGTGTCACAAATTTGAAGCCACTTTGCGTCATTTCCTATTTCCATTTCCTCCTCTTTCTACCTCTCTACCATGGATAAAAGGCAAAAAAAATTGTTTCGTCATTCAGAAAAATAATTTTCTGAAGAAAACATAGATAATTGTACATAAGTGTGCTTATTTTTTATTGAATGTGCACTTGTAGTGAACTTCAAATCTTAGAAATACGTTTTTGAAAATATTGCACTTGCAAATAAGGCTACGTTCACACTAGGCATGGGCCGATTACCGGTTTCAAGGTATACCGTGATTTGAAAATTTCACGTTTGTTTTGTTTTTTTACCCAGTCATTTAGAAATAAGAGCTTAAAAATAATAGAAATTTTAGAGCTGTAACGACAATACCGCGATACCGTGATATTTTTGCTTAAGGTTATCATACCGTCAAAATCTCATACCGGCCCATGCCTAGTTCACACTGTCAGTTTTGGGGATTGACAACCGCATTTACGCACATACAGGTGTGAGTCACGACATGTCCCGTTCACACAGCAGCTTACAGTAGCATCTCAAATACTGTCTGTATGAACGTGCAACGGGACTCAATCCTGTATTTCTTACCAGTTACCATAGCGACAGTGTCCAAAATAATATCAAAGATGACGACGTCCATAAAAATGAAAGTCTTATCACTTTCTGACACGACGAGTACAATCGAGCCGCGAGTTCATCCGTCAAACCTTCATTAACCGACAGCAGCCTTTATATTTGGGTGGAGTGCAGAGTAATTGAGTCGCGCACAGAACACAAAACTGACGGGAGCGGCTCCGGTGGAGACTGGATCTAAAACTTTCATATGACACACAGTTCATTTCTCCGTCACTGTAAGTTACTGAAACCACACATGAAAACACACAACACGCGGTAGACGTGCGTTTGTGCAGCAGAGCGGCTCTCTCTCGCACTGTATGACGTGACAGACAACTAGTTGTCCAGTCCTGTTCCGTTCACACAGCGCGTGTGTTCCGAGAATGCAGGTGTGAGTCCTGAAAACTTACGGGTGTGAGTTCGGTTACAGAATGCGGTTGTCACACCCGTAAATAACCGAACTGTGTGTGAACGTAACCGTATTAAGGACTCAAATACAGGACTGACAACCGTATTCTGCTGCTGTGTGAACATGGCCTAATGAATTAAAAGGTCACCTAAGTGTACTTAAAGAAAGTTCACTTTAATGTCAGTTTCTTAACACACTTAAGTACACTTTGTAATAATGTCAAATGACAAGTTTTACTGTAAAGTACATTTTAAACCATTATGTTTTAACAATGTTTTTTTATGTTTTAAAGAATTACACTTATTTTAATGTGTTGACTAACATACTAAAGCACATGTAAAGTATGTGCTTGTAATTTTAACTGTAGTGTGTTACTCAATATTACATTTACAGTTAATACATTTTAATATGTACTAAATTGCAGTTTCATTACACATGTGCAATTACAAATATATTGAAATACATGACATACAAGTTTCAATAGAAATAACATTAAAGTATATTTTAGTTTACCAATGAATGCTTGTCAGTACATTCAGCAGTACATTAAAAGTACAATAAATGTAATTATGAAGTTTCATATAAAGATGTACTTAAGTAGGTCAAGTTCAGCTAATTGCATTTAATATGAATTTACACTAAAATACATTTTCATTCAATTAAGTGTCCGAAAACATTACATTCAGTTGCACTTACGTGTTATTTTCATAATACGTACTCTCTTTTTTAAAAGTATGCTAAAGTGTTTTTTCACAGTGGTAGAACATTGCTATGGGATTGCTGATGTGTCCTATTTTTATTGTGTTGCTGTGTGGTTGCTAAGATGGTGTCGTAAAGGGTTTGCAAGGTGATTGATTACTGGCACTTTTTCAGAATGAGTCTGTGGGATTTTCTTCACTTATAATATCGTCTAATAGGTAAAAATTCTAATCACTTAGAAGAGTAACAGCACACCTGTCCTCAAACATTTGTGGGATAAGTTATGCACTGAAGTTTAATACTTAGGGATTTGTTCAAATTCCTAACTGTAGAGTAGTGATGCTTGTCTTAACTTAGCTTTCCTGTCAGTTTGTCCCAATAGCTTCCATAGCTTCCCAACTCTATCCCTGTGGTAAAACTCATTATGCTTCCTAATGAACCACTACCAGGATCTCAAAATAATTAAATTATCCCTAGCGTACAAACACTGTCCCTCTACAGAGCCCCACTTTCTTCCCTGAGTAAACTCTCTCTCTTTCTCCATGTATCTGTCTGACTGTAGTAATCCATCGGAGCAGCAGCATGGCTCCTCTAAGCCCCCGCTGGGTTCGTCGGCCGTGACCTCTCGTATCTTGCTCCGCCAGCAGCTGATGCACGAGCAGCTCCAAGAGCAGGAGCGGCGAGAGCAGCAGAGACGGCAGAGCTCAGCGTACGCACAGCCCTCCGTCACCCAGAGCCCCGCCATCAACGTCAGCATCCCCGCCGGCCTGCCCAGCGCCACCCAGGTGCCCATGGAAGTGCTGAAGGTAACGCAGGCCAATCATTAACGTCTCCTTAGGATTTATTGGTAGCACTTTTTCCATTTACTGCATGTTGCCTTCATGTTATAGGTGCTTCACTTTCTAAGAATATTGGCATGAATGTCTCAAATTGCAACTGAGATTATGAAGTTTTAAAGTGAATTAATGCAATGAAAGGACAGTGCACAGCTGAATGATACACTGTAAAAAAAAAATCTGTAAAATATATGTAAAAAAAAAAATAAAACACCAGCAAATGCCAGAAAATTAAGCAACAAGTTTTTTAGATTGAATAGGTAGCACATTTTTCAGATTGAACTTAAATTTAGAGTAGAAAATGTACATTTTGTTAACTGAAATAATGTTAACATGCGAAATTACAAAAATTTGTTTTTGTAATATACTGACAACCACCTTAAAAACACAGGTGGTAAAAAAAAGACAAGTTCATCACATGTATCTCTTCCACAAGCTGAGGTAAATGCTAATCTATAGAAGGTTTCTACCAGAGCATTTTAACAGTCTTTTACTATTAAAATTTCAGTCATTTTATGAAATGACTGAAACAAAAAACATATAATTGAGTTGTCCTCACAGGCTGCATGCAAAAACAAACATACAGCGTGACCAGTGTAGTCTGATGCATGAACAAATGACTCATTCATGAACAGATTACTCATTTGAGCCAGTTCTTTTTAATGAATCAAAAACATACAGCGTGGCCAGTGCTGCCCAGTTTCCAAAATAAATTACTCTTATGAGGCATTTATTAAATTAAAAGCTCAAAAAGATCTGATTGGTTTTATTATGCACCAAAATTGCCCAGCACTATAACTAAAATATGTGACCCTGGACCACAAAACCAGTCATAGGGGTCAATTTTTTTAAATTGAGATTTATACACAAGTTATACCACAAGTAATAAATAAGCTTTCCATTGATGTATGGTTTGTTATGATAGGACAATATTTGGCCGAGACACAACTATTTGAAAATCTGGAATTTGAGGGTGCAAAAAATCTAAATACTGAGAAAATCGCCTTTAAAGTTGTCCAAATGAAGTCCTTAGCAATGCATATTACTAATCAAAAATTAAGTTTTGATATATTTACGGTCGTAAATTTACAAAATATCTTTATGGAACATGATCTTTACTTAATATCCTAATGATTTTTGGCATAAAAGAAATCTCAATAATTTTGACCCATACAATGTATTTTTGGCTATTGCTACAAATATACCCCAGCGACTTAAGACTGGTTTGTGGTCCAGGGTCACATATGTGATTTTTAGTGAATCAAAAACATACAACATGACCAGTAGAGCACAATTATAGTTGAAATATTCCCAAATGTTTCTTAATCAAATTAAATGTGAATCAAGATCTTGTAAATTTAACTGAATCTTATCCAGAATCACAAAATTTGGCAAATTAAATTAAACGTGAATAAAAAATCTTGTGAATCAAAATAAATTGAACGGAATCTTATCCAGCATCACAAAATAATTGGATGGTGACTGCTCAAAACAAATTGTCAAATAATACTACTGTTTCACTTTATAAATAAAATGGTGCTAAAAGCATGAAATTGTGGCAAATTCGCAATAGAAACTGGCGAATGGTTGGCCAGGTGCGTTGTCTTGTTTAAAGGGCCGGTCACGCTACACTTTTTACATTGACTTCCATTCATACGCATGATGTGAATGCAGAACAAAAGAAATACAAGCTCATGCAAATTTTCCAAAGTTCAAGTTTGGTGAACTCTGCCTTGAGAATTCAAATGATTGAAGTCATGTGACCAATAGAAGACCAATAGAAGTGGCTTCTTAGTTAAATTAAAGGAACATAAACTTTTAAACTGCTGGATTGCAGTGTTGAAGTAAAGTGAAGTAGATTACATATTTTTACATTTTGGATGTATTACGTGTTATTATGTTTTTTATATATATATATATATATATATATATATATGTGTGTTTATGCTAATGCTCGCTATAGCGCCTTGTGGCGACACCGAGAATGCAACACATACTTGCACTGCGCTATGAATTCTGACACACATTGGTTTTTAACAGCGTGTGAAATCTAAGAATTTAACAGGATTTCACAGCAAAGCCTCAGTTGACCATGTTTTCTATGCTGACATTCTCCACAACTTTCCATGCTTCGGTTGTGCCAGCATTAGCATATAATGCATTTGTTCTTCTGTGCTGACCACTCAATTCAACTTGAACTTGAGTCTTTATCAGCTGAAGCGTGTCTGATTATGATACTGTCCGTGAGGGAGGGATGGGAGGGAGCGGGGTGGGCAGGGGACAGTGAAGTGTGTTAAAACGCATATGGGGATTATCTTTCCCCAGAGAATTCCTCTTTAATGCATGCTGTGCTCCAGCCTCTTGGAATTAGCCATCTTTAATCCTATTTGCTCAGCTACATTCAAAATCTTTTCATAGCTTTGATTCCTTGTTAGTCTGCGGAACTATAGACTGTTACTGATTTCTGTGCTATTGTGCACAGACTGTGATAATTACAGCTAAATCTGCCACATCCCATAGGACTCGGGCTGCTAATGTCACTCGGTAAGAGCCGTTATGTTACATTTGGTCATTTTTTCGGGGAAAAGTAATTGCCAGCTGTCTCTGATAGGCATGGGAAACAGTCATGTGCATTGATTGCTGTTTTATTCTGGTGCTAGAATATTCAGCTGTATATATGATTGTTCGAAAATGCACCAATAATAGTGATATTGCATGACTATGAATCATATTTTTAGTATTTGTCTAGATTAAGTGTTTGGGTTTTACCTATGTTAAGGTCTCAGCTAGCTAACATGCTCTAGTTTTTTTTTTGTAAAGTTCAGACATCAAGTTCATGGATAATGTTATTCTTTCTTACAGTCTTTTTCAGTTTTTTCTTTTTTTTGTAGTTTCTTCTATGATTTATGATTTTTCTGTTTGCTTTAATGTTTTCAGTTTAATTATTATAAAATGTTCATGTTCAATGCTGTTTTTCAAACTATTATGTTTTTCTTTTGAGTTGCTCTTAATTTTAAATTCACTTCTAATATTATAATTTTAATTATTACATATTTTTCCACATCAGTGCTGTTTTTTTTCAACTATTACATTTTTTCTAGGTGTATTTTATAAATAAAACCTAATTTTAGATTCACTTATATTATCAGTGTAATTATTATATATTTTTCCACTTCAGTGTTGTTGTTTTTTTTTTGTTTGTTTTTTTTTTCATTTTTGTGTATTTTTTTCTTAGGTGTTTTAGAAATGAAGCATAATTTTAGATTCACTTCTAATATTATCAGTTTAGTTATTATATATTTTTTATATAATGAACTATTTTTCTTGCATTTTGTAAATAAAACCTAATTTTAAAATTAGACATTTTTTTACATGTTGAGATGAAAAATCAGACCTTTTCTTGAAGGGAAAAATTGTTCTGTACTCATGTGTGATGTGAATTCACTTATTTTTTGCAATGCTTCTATTTTGTTCATACAGTGTTGAAACACCTTAGAGATATTTATGAAGCAATTAATGTTCCCATATTTTGATTCTCACACAACAGTTTTGTTAGACGTGTGAAATGTACTATATTTATGCGTGACGCTCCCTTGTCAACAGAAGCTGATAACACAAATCTAGACCACCCAGCATGCTACTGTACAACCAGTCTGATCTAAATACTATATCATGAATGAAAATGAAAGAAAAGTGCAAGGAAATTTGAAACACTAATTTCAGTGTACATTAACTGAACAATACGGCGGAATAGGAATGTTTAATAAAAGGAGAAATATTTTAAATATATGGCATACAGAGAGTTGATGAATGAATGTTGAAACCTTGTGAAATCCCCTTAGCCGTCTGATTTTGAGTGGCTCATATCAAAGGATAAAAAGGGCATGGCATGTACTCCGTAACCTTAACGTAGTATTTATGTTCATTCAGTCATTACTTATGCTAAGCTGATGATATGCTGGTTCAAACCATCGAACGGCTGTCAATATTTAAAACACACTGCCTTCAATCCAAACACATGCTCAGATTTCATCTTACCACAAACAAACACATCGTTTTGGTTTTAGCAACATTATATACAAAACATACTAGAAAGAAATAGAGTTAAATGTGTATTTAAGTATCACTGTACTTATAAAAGTATGTGAATGCATAATTTGTAGCCAAAAGTCTCTGAAAAATGGTTCCCTTTTGATTTCTGTTCATTCATAAATGAGTAGAGGAGACAGTTTAAGAGATTAAAGGGTCAAATTCCTTTGCCAGTTTAGTTTGGATTTTTTGACCCTAATCCTGAAAACTATAGTTTATATTTTATCCATATTACATTTTATTTCAACAACAGAAATATATATCGGAATCAATTCATGATAGGCTTAGGTCAAGTAAGAATGCTCTTTCAAAAATATTTCACAGTTATTCAATAAAAGATGGACATCAAATACTCAAATACAATAGATGAAAATAAATATAAAGGCTCAAATAATGAGAACAAGAAATAGTAAGTAGAAACTTAAATATAGTAAAAGTATTAAGAAAAGTGTAAGAAATAATGAGAAGAAACTTAGAAATACAGTAAAAGTATTTAGAAAAGTGCAGAAAAATGAGTAGAAACTTAGAAATGTAGTAAAAGTATTTAGAAAAGTGTAGAAAAATTTGTAGAAATTAGAAGTATAATAAAATATTTAGAAAAGTGTAGAAAAATATGAGTAAAAACTTAGAAATATAGTAAAAAATATCTAGATACGTGTAGAAAAAGATGAGTAGAAACTTAGAAATATTGTAAAAGTATTTAGAAAAGTGTAGAAAAAGATGAGTAGAAACTTAGAAATATAGTAAAAATATTTAGATAAGTGTTGAAAAAGATGAGTAGAAACTTAGAAATATAGTACAAATATTTAGAAGAGTGTAGAAAGACTGAGTAGAAACTTAGACATATTGTAAAAATATTTAGACAAGTGTAGAAAAAGATG